TAGTGTCAGCAGATTAGCCACTTCAAAAAACAAAGTCTGTTTTATTATTATTGGAGTACATCGTCATGCATGTATGACTATTTAACTCTTTCATCCTTGTGAACGTCAATAATAAAATAAACCATTCTTTATAAATACAAAGTGTCTGATATTAATCTGTGTAACGTTACCTTGTACTGTTTGTAAAAAACATTGTTAACTAATATGGCAATTAATACGATTTGATGTAACAAAAAGATCTTAATTTTTTGGAAACTACAGTCTGTGAGATTAATTAGTTTATTGTTATCCATACTTTTGAGAATCTACTAGATTTTAATGTGCCATTGATTGAGTTCTTATTCATTTTCCACACAGGACTTTACGCCTATTTAAAACGATAAATGCTCATTAACTAACTCTTGTTGCGTAACAAATTGAACACTGTTTTGAATTAATAAAGGTTTTTAATCAAGTAAAAACTTTAATTTCGTGTTCGGAATTCCTGATTCTTCTAAAGATAGATGTTTACCTATTTATTCAAGAGCTTCAAGACATCAAACCATTTTTAGTATACTTCGTTTGAAAAGGTTGGCTATTCCGCACTGAGACTCTGGATTGGAACTTTGTGTGTTATCATTTTAATTGGCCGTTAATTTTCTCTTTGATATGAATGTAGGTACTCCAAATGATAGATGCAATGTATTCGCTTGCCGGTAGCTACTATAAACAAAAGATGTCTAGCTAGGCCCATCTAGCCAGCCAGCCCGTATTGTGGCTCTTCGCTGATGCGTGCCGAGCAGTGATTGCCGACCTCTCCCTACAATACAACTGCATTTTACGATACAACCGGTGTTTTTTACATTTCAGAGGTTTTATTATTCAAATTAACAAATGACTGCTTTTGTTCTTTAGTTAAAAGTATTTCATTAACCTATGGTCAATAAACTTTCGGATATAATCTACGAAAAAAATATATTTTAGATTTACGTAGGAGTATACTTACAATGAGAAAAAAATTGCATACTTCTACAATAATAAGAGTTACTTGATCTTTTCAACTTCACGCTGATTTAACGTATTTGTTGAAGAGAATTAGCCTGCTTACAAAATAAAAGTAAGGTAATTATGAGTGTGACTGTAAATTTTATCTTGTTTGAAGTAAAAAGAAATTCGTCATTCTCTGCCGGTATGTGGCTGTTATTATGTGGTATTTGCAACCACAATTTGACAAATATTAATAATATAGTACAGTTTCAGATATGTAGTTTGTAATAATAATAAAATAACGATAACCAAGTAGGTACTATGTATCCGTATTTGCATTAGTTGCATCCTGATGTATCGTAGAAGGCCGTAGATTGGGTGCAGTGGTTGTGCTAGTAAAAATATCTGATGATACACACAGAGAGATATCAAATATTTCAGGTTATAAATAATAAATGTATTTTTATTATAATTTTTACTAAAATAATATGAAAAACTTTCTCAGAAATAATAGTGCATGCTATGAAAGTACGGTGCCGGTAATTTTTATTCGAATAATCACGAGCTACACACAAGAAACAGACTTCAATCGTAAGAATTCAGGTTAAGAAATTACTTAATTAACTAATGACTTATACCGTATTTCCTATTTACATCTTTACTAACCGGAAACGTGAATATGGACTGTTTTCACACTTTCAATACAAACAACTTAAATGACGATTAAGTAAGTACAAGTACCTACATAATATGATGGTACTGCAATAGTTTAGTTTCCTGACTAGATACCGTAATGTAGGTATTTTTCTTATGTCACGAAGTAAACTATGTTTACTTTCTTATCATACTAAACTGTAACGAGTAACATGCATTTTATTGTTTTAACTTGTATTTTGCCGGTTCTTTGCAATGCTGCTACATAATAATTAAGTACCTATCGTTTACCGAATATGAAAAAAAAAAATCTAAAACATTAAAAAACACTTACTTTTAAAAAGCCCCATTTTGAAACACTTTCTCATAATGTCTGGAAATGTGTTAACTTTGTTCTCTCCCATAAGTAACTCACTTAAAAAGTAACTGAAATTATTTAAATACAAATATACGAGGTCCTGAACAGTACTGTGAAAACGCGAGGAAATGGGCGCGTAGTCGACTCGTGCGTAGCACCGGCTACGGACTGATAGTGTATCGGACTGAAGGCGGCGCAGGCGCAGCCGCTCATTGACGCGGATTATCTCGCGTTGACACTTTTTACTTGTCACTCAAGGTTCAGAATACACATCGCACGGACAATACAGGGTGCAATGTTGCAAAAAATTCAGATCATGAAGTGAAATTTCCATGTACGGAATTAAAAAAATAGATAATGTTACACCTAAACCTTAGACACAAACAAGATCCATAGAGGAACTCGATCACACAACTGAAATACATTGAAAAAGGGAACTTTATTTTTGGGAAAAAATACAAGTAGGAATATTGACATCGAATTGCCTATTAAGATGTTTTACGTCTTCAATACTTCGATCTACGATTATGCCTTTACGTCTTCTATACGCAATGAGACGTCCTCACAGCCTGTATAGCGCAATTCCCTTATACAGGGTGACTTTGAAATCATTGGCATCCTTTTAAAATAAGACTCTGCTCATGATACACAGTAGGTATACATTCCCCAAATATGAGACAAATCCAATGAGTTAAAATTTCAATATTTAAAATCTTGTACAGACGGCAGCATATCAATTTTAATACTGTGGCATCTTATTTCGATGTATTTTGCAACAAAATGTATAGGCTGATGTGCTGTTGACTGTACAATATGGAGTTTTAAACTCTTTTTAGTTTTAGATCAGACTAATACACATAGATAGTAAAAATAATGGCAAAAAATCTCATTAAATTTGTCTCATATTTGGGGAATACACTATGTATCATGAGTAGAGTCTTATATTAAAAGGATGCCAACGAATTCAAAGTCGCCCTGTATAGGTAATATCGACATCCATAAAATAGCTTTTTGAAAGTCAAAGCAAAACCAAATACAAACAAATTTTGTTTTAAATATCATCAAATATAGTTTAGAAATAGACTTTTATTGTCCTCTAATCTTCTGGATATAATTTATTTAAAAATCTTAATTAAAAAAGTAAGATTTTTGATCGACGCATGAATTATGATTTTCCTAATGCTTTCATTTGCCTGAAAATTAAATAATGAGTAGTTACTTAACTATTAAACTTCATTTGAAATAATATTGCAAAGTATAATGTTCCCCACAATATCAGTTTCGTATATTTCCATAACATTAAAAAAATACTTATATTTTCTCGTACCTAGTCTACTGGGTAAAAATACAATTGAAAAAACCAGTCTCATTCGCCCTTGGGATTTGAAGCTGCAACTGTTGGCTTTCTAAGCTAGAGTGCCAACCACTAGACCTGTCGACCGTCAAATCTAATCTGTTTTAATAGCGAGGGATATCACTCTTACTTCCTCATGAGTTCACTTGTTGATAACTCATAAGTAAACATCTATCAAGGTTTGGAATCCAGGCTACTTAGGTACGTGTGTTATTAAACCTATCTACTTATAGTAATACTTATTATAAATCTGAATAATTTGTTTGATTATACACGCTAATCTCAGGAACATAGCCGTTTGAAAAAATATTTGTTTCTGATAGCCTATTTATTTATCGAGGCAGGTTTATTATACCATCCACGTTACGTTAAACATTACTTTACGACCAATAAGAACAAAGCATCAATGAAAAATGTTGTGAAAACGGGAAAAAATATTGAAACGATTTTTACGAGTACAAAGTCGTGGGTACAGCTGCAGTGTCATACATTATTATAAATGAATAATTTAATCTTCACTAAGTATGGTCATGAAAAAAGATTCACTTGGTGCGAGATCAAGCTAGAGCAAAACAACGATGGTAGTAGTTAAATATTCTGCTAACGAGAAACAGGATGAAAACGAAACTGCCATATTCGTTAACCGAAGACACCAAGACTTGACGTTCAGAACTGGATCCTTGAGGAAACTGGAGGAGAAAACAAGGACGAAGAAGAAACTTATAACGCCATCTACAGCACACATTTGGAACTAATCTTCCAAGCGTGATGCTTTCATGAAAATAATCTAGGTAGATAGGTCTACTATAAATATTATCTTATTTAAATAATCATTAAGTATTAATAAATTCTTGAAAATATTTTGCGGTAAATGAAGTTGGTGCGTGACCATTATACATACAGGGTGTCCCAGAATGGGTGAATCAAACTGATAGGGGAGGTAGCTCTACTAATGTACTATCCCTAAAAAATATGAAAAAAAAATAAAGCGCATAAGAAAACAAAAATTTTTTTTTGAAAAAGTGAAAATAAATCAGCTTTGCCTAAGTATCTGGCTATAATTGCTGCGTTTGGAGTTTATTTGTACTTTTTTCTTACTAATATTAATTGTACATGATCGCTTCGTTTATTTGTAAACAAACTTTTGAAAATAATGACTAGATTTCGAGTTTAGAGCACTTTATTTAAAAAAAATCCGAACTCAATTTTTTTTTCATTTTTTTTAGGGATAGTACGTTAGTACAGCTACCTCCCCTATCAGTTTGATTCACCCATTCTGGGACACCCTGTATACGTTGAGAGAACGACCGCACTTTACGGGGTTACATCCTTTGGTCCTTACACCGGCACATCGTAAGAAATTTTAACATCGACAAATTAGTGCAAACGTTCGGTCATTTAATTTTCATAAGAGACGTTTTGTAAAATGTCTATGGTAAATGGGATGAATGAATGAAGTGTGATTTACGCAAAAATAATTTTATCGTCTATCCATTCAAGTGATTCAAGTACTTCCCTAATTATCACATCCATTAAGAAAGTATGCAATAAGTACAAGTAATACTTTAGAAGTGTTTGATTCATTGCCACCTTCCTTTTCATTTACTAATTGATGCATTATGCTTATTGCTAATCGTCGTGTTATATTTGCGAATATAAATAAGAACAAATTCTGAATGAAAGAATAGTAGAGAAAGGTGCTCGTGTAAATCGTGTGTAGGTGCTTGAAAATTAGAAAACTGTGCTGAGGAATATTTTTTCAATAAGCAAACAAGGTATGTATTCAAAAATATTATTAACAAAACTGTGATATTATACTCAAAACGTTTGTGTTAGAATTAAATAATGTGATTGCGTCAAATTAGGTACTAGGCTATAGTTTTTTCTTTTAATCAGTCAATACCGTTTCTAGAATTAATAGATTCATATACGAGTATATACTTTTTTATTTGTATTTGTTAAAATTTGTAAAATAAACAAAATATCTAAATAAAATATAAATATTATACTACCTAGTTTACCTACACAGTTTATTTAGTTTGCCAGTCCATCCAAAACAAGATCCTTGGATTGAGATGTACAATAACTTTAAGTCTTATAGCAACATTCGCAACATTTTACCTTAACTCATTCGTATTCTATTCGTGTAGATTCGTGTAGAAACGAGAAGCTATAAAGTAACGCAAAACACTTCCTTCTCAGATGATTCGAGCTACGGTGATGATCTCAATGCTAGCACTGTGGTGTGGTGTGGCAATGGTACAAGGGTCTCCAGTGCCGAAACCAGCGCCGGAACCAGCCCCGGAACCAGCACCAGCTCCTGGACCAAAAGACCTCAGCTATCTCGCACTCGACGATGACGAAGAGATGCCCATAATAGAAGACTACCGAACCAAAAATTATGGAGAACTACGCACCGTACTGTCCACCATCAAGGAACAATTCAGAGAAATAATCGAGGATCTATTGGTGCAGGTAGTGAACTATTTCGAAGATATACTTCGGCAAATTAAATTGAAGCTACTGAAGAAACTGTCACTGTATAAAATGTCAGACGTGGTGCGCGTGGTTTTCGATGGTGTCACAGACTTTATGTTAGAACCAGTGCCTGATTATTACGATGAGCCTGTCAGAAAGCCGGCGCCTGTGAGTTCTTACACACCGTTTTCACTGGCTTCTCTTTTGGGTTCAAGAAAATAAGAAATAGCACTTGTTAACTCCTTCAAAGAACTTAGGTACTTACCTAATGTAATTTAAGGAACCAATTTATTTTTTGTGTAAATACGTAGATGTAAGGTGTAATTTATTTCTGAATTAATAAATTAAGATGACACTTATTTATCTGTTTCCTTTGATACTATCATAATAACATACATACATACATATTTTGATAAATCCTTATACGAAAGAAAAGCTTTTGTTTAAGAAAATATTTCACCTCATAATTATTATTAATATTAAATCAAATTAAATTTCACAAATGAAGTTGAATCCTGATTTAAATCTATTTGCCTGCTTAGTAGGTGCCTACTACAGACAGACCAGCGGAAAGGTAGTACCTACATGTAGAAAAATAAGTCCCTGTTAGAACAAGTTCAAAAACCAACTCATTTCAAACTAAGTACCTATGTCAGTTAAGTTTCATCAATGAAACAATTTGCTGTTATTTAATGAGAAGGCGTCGTCGTTTAGTTATCCATCTCCAGGCTAAGTTTTGGTAACTACATAATTATTGTAGATGTTATACAACGAATAAAAATACATATTTTATATGTAAAAATATGCATTATTTCATTAAGAAATACCTACTTATCTCATATTAAGTACTTCTAGATCAGTATCTTCTCAGATACCATAAATCATCAGTGTAAGTGCCTGATGCGTACTTAATTTATTTAAAACTATCTTAATTGGATTGAAATAACTGCAATTCCGTAAAAATACTAAATTATACTTACCAAATCTTCAAATTAATTTAATATTTGCAGATAATTTAACTTTAACTACTCGTAGTTAAGACTATCTAAGGTAAGTGCCCCCTACTTCGGTATATTAAGGCACTTACGACTTTAACATTTTATTTAAAAATAACCAAGCATGATATCAGTATGAAAGCTTTTGTATGCTAAACTTTGGTATTTTGACAGTAAGTTAATACATAAATTATAGTTATATAGTTTGAACTTTTTTTAATATTAATTGTTCTGTGGACCTCTTGTTTGGATCCTGTTTCGTGATAAAATTTTGCTCTGATTCTAAGTTCGTGAACTCATGTCCCCTATTTCGGGATAAGGTTTTATGGATCGAGTTAGGATATTTTAATAATGATTAAGGGTTTAATAAATTTAAAAACGAAAGTATACATTTAGAATAAATGAATTGTGTGAAATTGACGATATTACTTATCTGAAATATTTATGAGAAATAATGTGAGTCTAGCTAGGTACGTACCTACGTATAAAATTTTGATTTGTTAATTTGTAACAAAGAATTCAATAAATAATAATTAACACTAAATAGCCCGGAAAGATAAACACTGCCTTGCTCTCGGAGTAACCCAATAGCTCCGATAGTAAGTGCAAACCGATAGCACTTCAACAAAAAAAAAAAAATTGTAACAATATGTGAAAATATTAATATAACCATTAGAAATGTGGGGGGGTGCCGCCCCCCCCCCCCTTCGTACCCATAAAATTTTGATTTGTTATTTCTGACGATAAGTATGTGAAAATATTTATACAAGTCATTAGAAATGGGAGGGGGGGGGGGGGGGCTGGCGCCCCCCTTCCCCCTAGTCCCATCTCTGGAGCTGCTTCAAGTGAGGTTAGCCCCCCCTGAAAATAACCCCAGATACGCCAATGATTCATAAAAAAAGTAAGTAATTAATAAATTTTTTATCTAGGTAGTACCTAGTTAGGTCAGTATTAAAAAAACTAAAAAGTATGTCGATTTCTTTGATGGTATGTATCATAAAAGTACCTAACACTATACATTTATATATCACGAACTTAGAAAAAAGTAACATTAATACGGTTTCTTGTTTCGTGATATTGATTATTCCAAATTCCCCAAGTAAAATTCATGGATTTTTGTCAAATTGTGTCAATTAACTATTATCTATCCCATATATTACACAAATAAACAAAGATAAATGAAACAAATCGAATTAAAACCAAAATTGCACTGGTAGTACTTATGCTAATTTATCTTAAAATTGGTCATTTATGTGAACTTCAAATTCGTGTCATATAAATTCTAGTGAACGAAACATATACCGAATTTAGGTCATGAGAAACTTAAATAAATGCATTATTTGTTTCATAACTTACATTTAAATTATCATAAATAATTATTTAAATACCAAGCATCAAAATGTTATCCATAATATCCTTGATTCGGTAGTGTCACGAAATAGGGGACACCCGAAAAATAATATGTACGCTATTTCGTGAGTCAATTAATCGCAATTTTAAAGGAATTCTACGTTTTCTTATAACTTTTTTCTAAGCCAAATCAATTGTCAAGGAACACATGAAACCACTATTACAAGTTTTATTCAAATGGGCGTTCCTTCGCCTTTCTATAAGCTTAAGAAGTTGGAGCGCTAACCTTAGGGTGAGAGCAACCTTTGCACGCCGCATGGCTGTTTTTGGCTCTCTGAGAGTTTGAAGCTTCGTATTGCCCTCATTTTTGGGGCCACAATGTTGGTACTTGGTTTTTTAGATAGCTTAAATAATAGAGTTTTTGTAGTAATGAAGAATTTTAATAAATAATATTCCATTTGCTTATTATTTGAGCTAGAAAAAAAACTTACGAACTTACGAACTTACGTACTATCACGAACTAGTAGCCGTTTACCTTATATGTGTTTTTCTTTATCCTTGGCCACGTCTTGTCTTAGTATTTACTTCGAAACATGAACTGAAAACAAGACTGTATCAATTATGATACAACTGTATTAAATATTAATTTATTATTGAATCGATCACTATAATATGATTGCATAAAAAGTTAAGTTTCAATTATATCATACTAGCTTTCCTCCCGCGGCTTCGCCCGCGTGGAATTTTGTCTGTCACAGAAAAACTTTATCGCGCGCGCCCCTGTTTCAAAAATCGGGATAAAAACTATCTTATGTCCTTTCCCGGAACTCAAACTATAACTATATCTAACTAATATTAGTATACAAGTAGATAGATTAGTATAGATTTCTAGAGCCGAACAGCCAGATAAGAGCAACGAGGCTTGTCACTCACCGTAAAGAGATACTACTATTAATATTCCACAAGGCGCAAACAAAGTGATTTTCCGTTGAATAACATTCTTCAAGGGTAAAAAATAAATAGTTTAGGTATAAAAGACACAATGATTTTGGGTATAAAAGAATTTCTGACGAGTCTGTAATTCATAAAATATATATTGTATTTAAAATATTTCAAAAATATACGCAATTTTCTACCACAACCCATTTTAACTCTCACGTGCGCTAACTACGATATCTACGAACGAGTAGGCCACCATTATACCGATATGTAATAAAATTGTGTTATTGTCTACTTACTAAAATTTTACATCAGAATTTTCTTTAAAACGATTTTAGTTCCATAGTGAAAGTTTAATTATGTTTTTAAACAGTTGAGTCCACCTGCTGAAGGTGTGAATTTCATGGCCGTGATCACACGGTTGCTTACCTCATTAAACTCGTCTCAACCACTTACAGCATGCTTCAGTTGTGATTGATAGTTGTCAACCGCTAAAGCACATAGGGTGTTACAAAAAAGATCATATAATGATATAATGTATTATTATACCTAAATAAATATCATAGCAACCAAAAAAAATCCTAATAAAATACACTGACATCTTGTAAACAATATTGAGATTTTAATAATTACTATGAACTTTTAGGAACTTTTAAATAAATTCAAAGCCCTTAAACAACCTGATCTTGATGAGATAAAGAGTGGAGGCAGGCAATAAATTTGAGTAACCTCATCAAGTAACACACACATCGTGACATCAATCAATTGGTAACAACAATATGTAGGGATTTTATGTCATTACTAGCGGCCGCTAGTTCGCGACTTCGTACGCGTGGATCCCGTTTTACCCCCTTCATCTAATCTTACGCGGTTTAGATTTTTTCATAGAAATGTTTTTCCCGCTAACTCCCGTTCCCGTGGGAATTTCGCAATATCCTGTTGTAACTAAGCTTTAAGTTTACTAAGGGACCTGCATGCTAAATTTCAAGCGTCTTACTTAAGCGGTTTAGATTTTTCATACAAAAGGATTTTCCCGCTAATTCCCGTTCCCGTGGAAATTCCTAAGTATACTATAACCTGCCCAGGAGTATGAAGAATAATTGTACCAAGTTTCGTTAAAATCCGTCGAGTAGTTTTTGTTTCTATAAGGAACATACAGACAGACAGACAGACAGACAGACAGACAAAAATTTTACTGATAGTATTTTTGGCATCAGTATCGATCACTAATCACCCCCTGATAGTTATTTTGAAAATATATTTCATGTACAAAATTGACCTCTCTACAGATTTATTATAAGTATTGATTAGGCCTGGTTCAGACGCAGTGATAATTGCGCGGTTGTTGGGCAGTTTTCATACATTAGGATCAATCAGTAACACGCCACGATTACCGCCTCAGTGCCTCGCCCGCCAATGAAAACCACCCAGAAACCGCGCGGTTATCGCACGTATCTGAACCAGGCCTTAGAGTAGGTGTACCTGTGGTATGTCCCGTGTTCAGGGTCAGATGATGATAGGAAGTCATACCATTAGTTAGTAAAGAACAGACTACTACCTTTTTTCTATTGATACACAATATTCAATACATAAAGGAATAATTTTACGACTACTTACTAAATTAACATAAATAAAACTTAACGTTTCTTAACTGATACATCCTGTATCAATAAATAAATGCGATGGGGTTTGTGTAAGCATTACATTAACTGACACTACAGAAGTGTTTGCTTTCTGTACAGTCTGGTGACACGTGACGTGGTTTAAATGTATTGTCTTGTTATGATGAGTAGAATGATGAATAAATGAATCATCTCTGTATTGAAAATCGAGGATAGATATGAACCACCGAACACATCGTAAAATATGAAAACCGGTTAGCTAACCTTAAACTTTAAGTTACTTACTCCTGGGCAAGGATCAAATTCACGATACTTACTTGATAGCTTTATTTCCCCAAATCTTAATAGACTATTAATGCCCACCTATTTTATTATTTATTAATTGAGACAGATTGTTGAGTTCTGATGGACATAAATTATTATTAATCGTTATTGCAATTAGGAAAATATTAA